CAAATGATTGCAATACAGCTGGAAAACCAATCACAAAATTGTATACGGTTATATTTCCTTTTGCCACTGTTTTCCTTTACTTTGGAAACATAAAATGCTGTATACAGCAATGCATTTTTAGATTAATCAATTGCTATCAAGTGCTATCAAGTGCATCTCACACATTCCTTTCTCGAATTTTCAGAATTTTACCCTTATACCAGATTATCAGATTAAAAGAAATAAAATATGAGATAATATCATTTATTATTTGTCATATATTGCAGAAAGTGGGAATGCAAGCCACTAAATAAGAAACCATTGGCTGTTCCCTTAAATTATTATAAGAAAAATAATAACTGAATAAAAGTTTGGTCATCTCTATCTTTTCTACATCATCTGTTTTACAGGGTCTGAGACGCCGGTGGCACCTACACCTAGCGAACCAAATAGACAAACCAGACAGCCCCATGGACAGCCTCCTGATCACCCAGTACAGCAGCCACCATCTATTAGCCGCGGCATGCAGATCTTCACAGGAGTCTTTGTTGCCATAATTGCCATGATCGTCTATTACTTTCTTTAGACCAGGGAGTTACGACTCCCTGCTTATAGACGTTAAAGTCCTGTGACATACTCATTACTGACCACGCACCTCCACTTTATCCAACAAACAAGTATGTTTTTTTAAAATAAATCCATCATGGGTTATCTTTTGATCTCTTTTTGGAGTGCACAATCAACCATACATTGACAATACCCCTGTTCTAGATAGTGTCCCCCACGTTGCAATTACATCATTGCCTGAAAAGTACTCAACATCATATTTAACCACGCGGCTTCAATTAATAGCCGCAAAAAATTCTGGGAAAAAACCCCGGTAATTGAACAAATTTTAAAGAAGGTCTTTGATGAATATCAGAACGAGTATCATCCTATTTAGGGGCCGTTGTGGTAAATTGTACTTTCACACTCTTTTCTTTGATTTCCCCATTTCTGTTGTATGATATGTTCTTTTATGCAGCCTAAAATTCGTTATCTTCACATACTCTCTGTAATGCATTTAAAGGCATCGTTTAACAATGTTAAATCTGAGATGCCCGGCCCTATACGTGTTTTTAGTGTCTGTGATATGGTGTAATATTGAAGCCCTAAAAAAAATCGCGCTTCAAAATGATCAAGAAGTGCCTCAAAAAAGTAAAAATCTTTGAGTGACCGCTTTTACCATACTCGTTTTCCCCAATAGACTGTAGTGTTTTGAAAACCGTTTAGCAAACGGTTTTTAAAATCTGTAATTCGAATCACAAATATCTTGATAATCAGAGAGGCGATCGGCTTGTAAAAGTCACGGGGTTCCTGACTGACCTAAAGGTTTATAATTATCATTGCAGCATGAGCTAAATATAAGATTTTGTTTCAGAATCTGAGACAAAGTTACCGGATCCCTTTAAGACAATTTTGTAATACCTTGGTATATTGGTATATGGTCAGCCGGTACGGCATTCAGTGTATTTAGTAAATCACTGTGAAGTAAGATTGGAGATATACGGAGACGGGCTCCTCGACTCGTTATAAACAAACAAAAATGTCAAGAAAATGACATACGAAAAACGGATTCAGATTCTTAATTGACAGTCTCTCGAGTCAAGTAGAACAATTTGTTTGATCGCATGTGTAACCAAGGATATGTTTGGTATTGTATAATATGGCACTATGAGGTGTTTAACTCTGTGAATTCTTGCCATGTCGGTAATGCAAGGTTCGTTCACCTCCGGGCGCGGGCTCAGCGAATGCATTGTTCTGCTCGGGGGTGGTCGAGATCTCCCTATCGACATGACTTGCTCAACTATAATATATAAGATGCCACTTTCTTGAGTTGTCATTTTTGTTTTAAATAATTAATTAAAACAAAAAATCCTTATTAGGTTGGTAGGGTATAATAATGATCCTCTGTTCTCTTGATGTAAATAGACCCTATATTGCTTTTTTACTCTTCTTATGCCCGTTATTTTCATTTCTCCCATTATACACAAAACAAGAAATTAGAGTTCCTTTTCCCTTTTTCCTTTTCACCGGTTTTAGAACTAAAATGTGACACTAAGTAAACATATTATTCATATTTATTAATACAATGATTTTGCTTCCAGGAGAGAAGTGGTATATTAATTTTGTGCTCGATAATTAGTAATGGAACGAAGTAATGTTTATTTAATAATTTGTTTTTAAATGTTTGTTTTATACCTATCTTACTCTCGCCTTGTTCCATTCTATGTGACACTGTAAGACTCTATCTACTTCAACCTCCTCCTTTTCTCTTTTCTCCCTTTTTTATTTTCTCTCCCAAATTAAAAGTGTTGTGTTGATAGGAAATTCGGTTTTATATATCAATTTCAAGACAATATGAGGTTGTAATTTTTATATTGAATATTTTTGTAAAAATTACTTATTGTTTACAACCACTGAAACTGGGACAGAAGCTTTTTGCCACAGTTATTAGGTTAACAATTTCTGTCCCTTGCGTTCCAGGGGTTATATTATCTTATATCTTTACGTGCCCAATTGTCTGTTTTCTGATTTATTATGTACTATATTTATTGCCAAATAAAACTACTACTACCACCACTACTAATACTACTACTACTACTACTACTACACTACTACTACTACTACTACTACTACTACTACTACTACTACTACTACTACCACCACCACTACTACTACTACTACTACTACTACTACTACTACTACTAATAATAATAATAATAATATCAATAATATAATTGCTGGTGATTTTGTAAGGAAACGATTAAAGAAACATAATGAAGTGATCCACTGCATTGTGTCTTCAATAATCTCCAATGTTTTCTTTGTAGAGAGTATAATATTGATTAACATCAGTGATGCTCAACTGATACAATTAATGCAAAACATATAAACTTATTAAACACCAACAAAGGAGAAATGGATGGTATCAAACATATATTTGTATAAAAAGACTGAAACAATCCTCTGAATTGTCAGAAAATGAGAAGATAAAAAGTATGAGAGGGAGTGTGTGTGAGAGAGAGAGAGAGAACAAAAAATCCGGGGGGGGGGGGGGAGGGGGTGGTGGTCAGATCATGATATGTGATATGATTAGTATTTATTCAGACAATGTGAAATATGTCTCTGGAAAATGGCAGCTTGGTAGAGGGAAGTAAATAGTAAGGTTAACAAAAACATAAGAAACATTTATTAAACCATATGCCAGACACTTATTTTATTAGTGATCACTGTGTTCATCTTAGCGTAAAGTGTTAGTGTTGTCTACGGCCTGGGGAATCCCCGGAATGCTATCGTGATTTGCAATACCTATATTTGTGAAAATGCATTATAAACCGCTTAAAAGCAATCGTTCCAAAGCAGATATGCCTCAAGTAAATAAAGAATATCGTGAGCAATAACAGTGACAAGATTTGTCCCCGTGCTCATGAAATTTGGCACAACCTATATTAATTTTTAATGTACGAACTCCTATTAAGAAGACATCGTCCTCACGTCAATGCCAATGCCATTATGATGGAGGTATACCATTGAATATCACTTATGTTATCTAGCCTGTTATCGCATACGGCCGTATTATTCTATGATTATGTGTGAGTAGAGGACAAATCGTCAAGAATTGGAACCACAATCCCCTTACAAAAATGTAATTGATGTCAAGATAGGGCAATGAAAACTATAAGGAAAAAGCGGCTATTGATTAAGAGTACAGATTGAAATGTATCACTTTGTATTAGTTTATCAATTGGAAAAATTGAATTAATACAATATCAGTACTAACTTTTCTGATTATGATACCTCATTCGGATTAATGGTCTAGACAGAGTAATTTGGCGTCATCCAGATTGTGGACTCTCCGTGAAAACAACACATCTGCTCCGATGAGCAGACACTGCACAAAAGAGCATCGATCGATTGTTTTTTAACAATAACACGATTCTACTCCATGCTCTGTTGTGTTCCATTGCACTGTTAGCTGCAGTATTTATCAAGAACAAAACAAATTCCCATTAAAAATAGAAACTGACGTTATTCTATACATATAGTTGTCGCTTCGCGGGTCATATTACATTATCATGTGCTGGTACGTTTTATTGTCTGCATATTAATTCACACTGATGTGATTTCATACCGTCTTCGCTGACATTTTTCAATATTTTGCTCGTGAGTACTTTTCATATCATGATTTATATTAAATATTCGATAGCGCTTGATTTTTAAAACAAAAGACATTCTTTTTCCTAAATGTAAGTGTACTACGGTTATTGATACCCCCATTGTGCTGCACGTATTGTCACACTTTCTTCTCGTAGAACCCACATCACCCCCATTCTCAAAACTCTTCACTGGCTCCCGGTATGTGACCGAATTATTTTAAAGTTATTGTTGCTAGTTTTCCATTCCTTGTATGACTCTGCTCCTTCCTACAATATCAAGTTGATTGTTAAGTATAAGCCTACAAGACATCTTCGTTCATCTCAATCCTCCTTATTAGTTGTCCCTAAGACGCGCAGTTCCTGGGGGGATAGAGCATTTTCTCATTCTGGTCCGTCCCTTTGGAATAAGCTGCCACTTAGTATTCGTAATTTAACTGCCCTTCATGACTTCAAAGTTGCTCTAAAAACTCATCTCTTTCTAAACAGTGCTATTTAATCATGTCAATGTAGCGTAATAATTTGTGTTGTTTTAGTTTACTTTATTTTAGTTAAGAAAGTTATATTTTTGTGATAGTAATACATGTATGTACAGTGCCATGAGCGTCAGAGCCTGGCGGATATATACCGGCGCTATATAAATATCGATATTATTATTATCTTTCCATTCAACGAACACATTACATCATCTTTGAGTACTTTTTCATCGATTGCAAAGTACAGTGTTGTTCTATAATTATACACATATTCAGATGGAAAAATTCTTGCGAGAGATTGTTTTTTTTAAATATTTGTTTGTTTATCCTATCTGCTTAATAGGAAGCAATGCCTGGATTAAAGGACAGCGACGTTCTAAATGACGAGCTATTTATAAAAATAGCTTCAGAAATTAAAGGCGTCACCCCAGAACAGCTAAGCGATTATCTGGGCTTCAAAGGTTTGCAGGGTTACAACGCTAAAATTGTGAGTTCTGCCCAAATCAATCCTACGTCGCCGTACGTGAAACTTCTTCGTCAATTTGTTAGCAACCCTGATTATGGCAAAGATATTGAGAGCGCGCTGAAACTGAGACTTGTTTTCCTGGAGAAAGACATGGTCCCTTGTGCTGAAATAATCGAAAAAGGTATATGACGTCCTATCATTTCTACTTTAAAATATAATTTAGTTTTTCAAGAAAAAAATACAACCTTATTCCTTGATTCCTTTACCACTGCTCTCTAAAGAATGAATGAATGGGTTTTGAGTATTGTTCTATCCTACTACAGTCATATTATATTTTTATTCTTTAAATCTCTTTTTTTAAAAATAATACACAGGCCTTTAAAAGCGTGGGTGTATGTAAAATATTCCTACATACAGTTACGAACAGGAAGGCAAAGCGAGCAATAATCTTCTTACTTCAAGTCTTAAAAAAAAAAAAATCATATTATGGTAATAATGACTGCTTTGATGGTTGTGTTTATACGCTCAAGAAGAGGTTACAATTGTGCTATTGCCCAAGGCGTGCCGAGGGCAATAGCACGATGTAACCTCCCCGAGAGCGTATAAAACAACTATGTCTCGAATATTAAGGCAGTCATTATTACTTTTATATACTGAAAAAAAAGAGTCAACTTATGACACCACCTTGGCTTTTCTCTAGTTTATCTGCAGAGTTTTTTTTTGTGAGTGTATCTTTGAGAGTTAGACTAGTCTAGATCTATGTAGCATTTCCCCCTAATTCCTCACAAATTTCAAAGCTGTTGAGTGTCATAACATCAATAAATACCTTGTCCTGAAGACCTACAGGATCATCCAAATCAAGCGAACCTTGGATTTTGTCCATGTCTTCTCCTGAGATAGCATGGTTTGTGAGTCACAACTCCCTTTCCTTCTTGTTTAAGCATTGCTGAAAAACACTTAAAAACTCTCGTCGAATTGGAAAAATCTTCATGCTTAATTTATGATGTTGACATTGTTAGAATTGAGGAAATGACGCTGAAGTCCGAATCTAATAATTGACATTGACTTCTTCATGTATAAAGAACCGTTCTTCCGTCTATAGCACCAGCGTAAAACTTTTGCCTTTATAGGCCTAGGCCTAGATCTACGTTGTCCAGCTCCGAATTTGGAAGTTTGTTTACGCTATCGAGGCCTGTGTTGATAACTTGCAGGTAGCCTATATCTAGACCTAATCTTCGAATATTTTTATGGAAAATTTCACGTACCCTTTTCGTGTCCTTGCTGTCAGCACAATTAATCAAGTCTTGCAATTGATCATCATCAAGAAGTTGAAATCTAGGAAGAGTTTCTTCAGCTATTTTTGCCTTGTTTGGATACTATAAGTAGAATCTAGGCCGGATTTAGTAGTACGATTGACATCGCCGGTCCTCTTATTAAAAAATCTAAAAAATAAGCGACCAATTCGCATACACACAATGTATGGTATCCGCGCTCGCTCAGAGCACATTTCAACACGTGAACTAATGGGTATTTCAGCAAGATTTTATTATTTTCCCGGCAACTGGAATTTAGCCTGGATTTTACTGATTTGCTCTAGGACTATTACATAGATTTGGCATTTTTCGTTTATTAACTGGAATGGCTAAAATCACGACTGTAATTTAGACCAATCAGATGGCTGGATTTCTTAAGTGAGGTATATAATGAAAACTAAGTAATGCGATTTTAATCAAGGGAAACATCTTCCTGAAATGTTGAATATCAGAGAGGATGTTAAGAGAATGGATGTTCAGAAGAAAGTCTCGCAATAGTCATTTACTAATTGTATGATTTATTTTGATATCGAATTTATCTAGAATTAAGGAGGATGAATGTTGATTTCCCCTACCATGCATGTTGATGCAGCCAGTTAAACCTTCTGCCCACTGGAATTTCGTGGTTCATGTATTACGTCTAAGGGAATGAGAGCATTTGGGAGTCCCCGGGTTGATGAGACATTTGTGTTCTTTGTTTTTCCTTATTGTCTGTAAAGATAAATTTCTGGCAGTATGTTTCAATTCAAAAGATCATTAATTCATTAGATCATTAATTTTCTTCTTTTACGATTAGCAGATATACACTTCTGCTCAGTTATTTCACATTGTCTGTGTTTAAAAGGACAGTTGAGATCTCGTGAGGCGAAACATTACGGAGACTATAACATACTGAAGATTTCATTTTTGTTTGTTTCTTTCTAGCACTAAGGAATTATGGGAGAAACTTTCCTAGCCGCGCTGATACACTTATTGGTCTGCCTTCTAACCTACGCTCCCCTCCACATCACACACCAGGTATGATTATAATCAAATAACATCTTCGGCTTTTGTCCGTCCCCCCCTTTCGCTCTCTCTTAAAAATATATCTGGTATATTACCAAAATGTTAGCAATACAGCTGGAACACCGAGGGTAATTATTCACGCCTCAGCCAACTTTTAAACAGTTATAGGTCCTTTTGCCACTGTTTGCCTTTGCCTTGTAAACATAAAATGCTTTTTACAGCCATGATTCTTTGAGATTAATCAATCGATTTCAACTGCATCTCACAAATTTCTTTATCGGTTAAAGAATTTCAGACTTACAAAAAAATTATTAGATTATAATATCAAAATAGCTAAAATAATTAAGATTATGTTTGTTGTTTCTTTCTAGAATTGGAGAAGACTGAGATTGTTAATCCTATCCGCGCTGACACACCTACTCGTCAGGATGTTAACGCACCCTCTCCTCCTCATGACAAACCAGGTATGATATCATCAAATAACATCTTTGGCTATCCCCCCTTAAAAATACACCTTCAGACATCAAATTTGAAAACCTGTTATGGAACCAAAATGTTAGCAATACGGCCGGAAAACTGAGGGTTAATACACGTCTTGGAAAATAAAATGTGAGATAAAATCATGTATTATGTATCATGTATTGTAGAAAGTGGGAATGTAAACTACTTAATAAGAATTCATTGGAAGTTCCGTAAACAAAAATTACCACGAGAAAAGAGTAATTAGAAATAACAGTTCGGTCATGTCTATCTTTTCTACATCGTCTGTTTTATAGGGTCTGAGACGCCGATGGACACCCATGGACACGGCCCTCAGCCTCCTGATCGCCCCGTAGAGCAGGAGACGCCATCTAATAGCGACACGAACCCTTCATACCTGATCGTCATAGCAGGCATTGTTGCCATATTTTCCATCGTCTATATCTTTGTAAAAAGACGTTAAAAAGCACAAATCTTCCTTCACAATAACGAACCTTCCAATGAAGGAACCTTCGCCATGTTCATTGAGGGAAACTTCAGAATAATGGACCATAAGGGGGAAAAACCCCGACGTATAAACATTATTACATTGCAGTGCACTGTGCAGCATACTAGACATAAAAATCTGTTAATTCAGAGTGACTCGTACCGCTGCCAGCAAGGGAGATTCGATCTATCAAGGTTCTACATCAAAAAGCATTATCGTTCCACTCCTTCAGCTCTGACGTTCAGATAATTATGATCCGGTAAACCTCCGCTTTGAAAAAAAAACACAACAATAAACATACAAACAAACATACCCACACACACAACAACAAATACCAGATGCGTTTTAACGTGTAAATGACTGGCAATTGCTTGCAACACGTATCCACTAAGCTCTGTTTTATAAACATAACATATCAAATAAGTATAATCCTTTTTTTACCCAGGGAAGCCTCATCAGCATAAATCTAGTCTGTCTTGCTTATTCTGTAATTATTATGGTCCATGGTAAAACACCCCGTCCAAGAATGTGACCACCGAGCAAGCTAGGACCTTGTGTATGAGAATTGGGAGTTTTCACCAATATACCACTTGTGCTCCGTTGATTCCGCAACTTTACAATATACAACAAAACTTATTTCTACACACTTGTGCAATATTTCGCCCATGTTGAGTAAACAAGGGAACAGGTGTATTTGTTGGGTTAATTAATGATAAAATAGCTACACTTATATTGTTCATGTAACCATCACAGAGGATGCTCAATGCACGTAAACAGTAATATAATTATTCAAGGCAAAATGCATATATTGCTATCCGATACCCACTTTCATCACCTAGCTGCAGAGTGGCAAATGTAGATTTATGTCTTGGCAAAGGACATTAGGACATTATATTAGTTCTGCGGACGGACTCGAACAACGAACCACGTGATCCACAGTCATGTGACGTATTCACTTGACCGCACACCTCCACTTTATCCACCAAACATGTATTTTTCGTTTTAATCCAGCATGGGTTATCTTTCAATCTCTTTTTGTTGTGCAAAACTTCTAGAAAGTTTCTCCCACATTGCAATACCATTACTGCCTGAGAAGTACTCAACATAATATTTAACCACGGCTTCAAATAAGAGAGCCCCCCCCCCAAAAAAAAGAAGAAGACATAATTGAACAAATTGTAAAGAAAACCTTTGATGAATATAAAAATGATTATCATCCTAGGGGTAGCCGTGATAAATTGAGTCTTTTTACTTTCTCCATTTCTGTTGTATGATAAATTATGTTTTTTGTGTGCAGTCTGAAATTCGTTATCTTCACATACTCTCCGTTATGTATTTAAGACAATTTGTATACCTAATATTGAAATGTGATCAGCAGGTACGGCATTTGTATTAGTAAATCCCTGTGAAGTAAGATTGAAGATTACTAATGGGGCTTTCACATATACACTCCGGGGCCCGTACGGCGAGTAAAAACAGACATTTTGGGAATTTTCGGCCGGTGTCCGGCCGGTTGCCGTAAAGTTCCTACGGGCGCCGGGACAGTTTTTCAAGCCGTACGGGCGCCGTGGTGCTGAGTTGGCTGCTCCCAATTCTCCCGGCGTTTTTATCTGACCGTTAGGCCGTAGAAAGCCCGTAAAGGGCCCCTAGGGCACCTTACGGGTCCCATGCGGGCTCCGGACGGTGCCCGGACGGCCCCTCACGATTTTGGGGGTCAATTCTCATGAAAAATCTTTACGGGCGCCTTGCGGTGCTCAAGGGTTCCGTACGTGTACCCTTCGGAGCCCTCACGGGCCCCTTAAGAGCCCCTTGCTCTTAAGAGAGGTGACTTGCACAACAACTGACGTCTGCCGTCCGGGGGCCATTTAAAATGAATATTGCCCGTGCGGGTCCCTCACGGCGGCATCTCGAAATGTACAACGCAGTTTTAAATACAGGAGGTGCGTATACTAGAGGACACATACAGAGTGAGTCAGAAAAAATGTCCCACTTTTAAAAAGTTGTATTGTTTGAAGTATGAATATTTAATAATGAGTTTCATGTTATGTCTTGATAGAGTTATCCTCGCAGTACATTGAGGTACCATTTTCATTTGAATCTCTGCATGCATGACTAAACATCAGACAATCTTTACAAGACTGTCAGATCTCACTTGCGCCAAGTTGCTAGGTGAGGAATAAAATAATGTTTTGTACAAAGACAGCCAGTTTTTTTCAATCATCCAATTAGCCAGACAGACAAAAACACACAAACACACGCACACACACACACACACTCACAAACAAACACACACACGCACACGCACAGGCACACGCACACAAATGAGCATTTCATTCCCGACAAGGCCCACCCAAACTGTTATCTTTTGTCTGGAATTCTTCTTCTCGTACGAAAAGTTGAGTGGCCGCTGTCCTCTTGGTGCGTATTGGCGGACGTTGTCCTTTATGATGATGATGATGATGACGATAATAATGATGATGATGAAGATTAAGATGATGACAATGATGATGATGATGATGACATAATGGTGGTAGTGAATGTGTACAAAAGGGAAAGATTTTTACGGTTATGCCACTTAAACATTCAGCGATCTTGATAAAAATCAATGATCAATCAGAAAAAGGGTAATTATGAAACAATTGTCACCCTGTATGTTGTGTGTGCGTGTGTGTGTATATGTGTGCGCGTGTGGGTGTGTGTGCGTGTGCGCGTGTCTGAATGTCTTTGTTCAATGCACTGTTTTATTCCTCACCCAGTAACTTGGCGCAAGTGAGATCTGACAGTCTTGTAAATGTTGTCTGATATTCAGTGATGCATGCAGAGATTCAAATGAAAATGGTACCTTAATGTACTGGGAGGATAACTCTATCAAGATATATCATGAAACCAATGATTAAATATTTATACTTCAAACAATACAACTTTTAAAAAGTGGGACATTTTTTCTGACTCACTCTGTAGTTCAGTGCACCGCACGGCACCCGGGCGGGCGCCTTGAGGACCCCGGCAGGGCACCTTCCGGGAGCCATCGGTACACCTGCTCATCGGACGGAGCCAGTGAGGTTACCGGCCGACACTCGGCCGGCACCCTGCCGGCACTCTTACGGGCGCCTTGCATTTCACTCGACCAATTTTCTCCGGGCACCTCCCGGGCGCCGCAGAATATGTGACCGCACATGCCGTAGAAATGAAAATCGTACGGTCTCTAAATCCACGGCAAGCCGCCGGGTAGGGAAAGTCGTACGGGGCCCGGTTTATAGACGGGCTCCTCGACTCGTACTTGACAAAAATGTAAACAAAATGACATACGAAAAACGGGTTCGGATTTTTTAATTGACAGTCTTTCGAGTCAGGTAGAACAATTTGTTTGATCACATGTGTAACCAAGGATTTGTTTGGTATTGTTTAATGTGGCACTATGATGTGAATTCTTGCCATGCCGGTAATGCAAGGTTCGTTCACCTCCGGACGCGGGCTCAGCGAATGCATTGTTCTGCGAGTCATTGCGCTCGGGTTGGTCGAGATCTCCCTATCGGCGTGACTTGCTCAACTACATGTTTAATATACAAATAATACACAGCAATGAGGGCATTAGTAAGAATTACCCACACGAGGTACCTTTGGAACAGTCTAACACGCCCGAGGATAGCAGAGGGTGTTTGGACTGTTTTGAAGATACCGAGTGTGGGTAATTTTACTAATTCCCGAACAAAACGATGTGTTATATTTTATTTGTTTTATAAAATGATGTTTTGTAACATGATTTTGATAATGACCGGTCATTATCTAAATTACGCGTTAGGCAAAATAAATGCCTGGTCACGTGTACGCTTTCAACCAATTATTTGATTAGGCTCCACGTCATCATCTTATAATATAATTATATAAGATGCCATTTTCTAGAGTTGTAATTTTTGTTTTAAATAATTCATTACAAATTATTAGGTTGGTAGGGTATAATATTGATCCTCTGTTCTCTTGATGTAAATAAGCCCATATTGCTTTTTAATCTTCTAATGCCCATTATTTTTCTTCTTCTTCCATTATACATAAAACGAGAAATATGATTTGTTTTCCCTCTTTCCTTCACACTATTTTTAGAACTAAAATATGATACTAAGTACATGTGTTGTTTATATTTATAAAGACAATGATTTTGCTCCCAGGAGAGGGGCGGTTAATTGATTTTGTGCCTGATAATTATTGATGGAATACGAAGTAAAGTTTTTTTTAAATATTTGTTTTAATGTATGTTTTTATCCCTGTCTTTCCCTCACTTTGTTCCATTTTATGTGACACTGAAAGACTCTATCTACTTTAACCTCCTCATTTTCTCTTCCCTCTTCTTTATTTTCTCTCCCACATTAAAAGTGTTGTGTTGCCAGGGAGAATTGGCTTTATGTCAATTTTAGTATAATACGAGGTTGTAATTATTATATTGAATATTTTTGTAAAAAGTGCTTATTGTTTACAACCAATGGAACCAGGACAAAAGGCTTTTTGCCACAGTTATTAGGTTAACAATTTTTGTCCCTTGCGTTCCAGGGGTTATATTATATTATATCTTTACGTGCCCAATATTGTCTTTTTTCTGATTTATTAAGTATTTTGTTTATTGCCAAATAAAATGATGATGATACAACTACTACTACCATTACTACTACTACTAGTACTACTACTACTACTACTACTACTACCACTACCACTACTTCTACTACATCTTCCTCTACAACAACTACTACTTCTACTACTACTACTCCTTCTACTACTACTACTGAAACTACTGCTACTACTACCACTACTACTACTACTACTACTACTACTACTACTACTACTACTACTACTACTACTACTACTACTACCACTACCACTACTACTACTACTAGTAATAATAATATCAATAGTATCATTGCTGGTGATTTTGTAAGGAAACGAGTAAAGAAACATAATGAAGTGATCTACTGCATTGTGTCTTTGATAATCTCTAATGTGTTCTTTGTTGAGAGTATACTACTGATTTACAACTGTGATGCTCAACTGATACCATGCAATACATGTTAACACATTAAACATCATCAAAGGAGAAATGGATGGTATACAACATATATTTGGATAAAATGACAAAATAAAAACATCATATAAATTGTCAAAAAATGTGAGGATAAAAGGTATGAGGTGGTCACGGAGTCATGAAAGAAAATTGGAAAGATGTGGCAAAAGCTTTTGCGAGTATGTGTCTGAAGGCTTGGATGATGTTGGCGTGTGTGTGTATGGTGATCAGGAAGAGGGTGGAGATGATATGCTCGTGTGGGTATTGTGTGTGTACAGAGAGAAAGAGAGACAACATGGATGATGGTCATAATTATGTAGCGAATGATAATAATTAAGGTGATACAGAAAAAGAAATAGAGGGAGAGACTAGAGAGAGAGAGAGGAGGGGGGGGGGGGGGGGGAGAGAGAGAGAGAGAGTGAGAGAGAGAGAGAGTGAGAGAGAGTGAATTCCGACCGGGGGGGGGGGTCAGTTCATGATATGTGATATGATTAGTATTTATTCAGACAATGTGAAATATGTCTCTGGAAAATGGCAGCTTGGCAGAGGCAAATAAATAGGTTAACAAAAAGATAAGAAACATTTAATAAACCATATGCTAGACACAATTTTTATTAGTGATCAATGTGCTCATCGTAGCGTAAAGTGGCGCCACAAGATCACGTGGTCTACGGCTTGGGGAATCCCCGGAATGCTTGCGTGTTTTGCAATACCCATATTTGTGAAAAGGCACCATACACCGCTTAAAAGCAATCGTTCTAAAGCAGATATTCCTCAAGTAAATAAAGAATACGGTGAACAATACAGTGATGAGATAAAATCCCGTGCTCATGAAATTTGGCACAAACTTAACTATGTTAATTTGTTTATGTATCAACTCCTATTAAAGAAGATATCGTTCTCACGTCACTGCCAATGCTATCATTCTGATAGGGGTATACTATTGATTATCATTTATGATATCTATCCTTTTATTGCATACAGCCTTATGATTATAGATACACACATTAAATGATTATGTGTGAGTAGAGAACAAGTCTTCATACAGTGAGAACCACAATCCTCCTCAAAAAATATCTGCACTA